TATGCAAATTTCAACTGAAGTTGGGCAGTTAAAACCATTTAAAATAGTCTTATAATAGAAAGTGTGGAGCAGCCTTGCCTATAAGTAGTAACCAAAATGGGTTAAATTAGAAGTTGTTTCCTCCTTTAAGTTTGTATTGCATGTGCAGAAAAAATCATCAGTTTGGTCTTCTGCATGATTAGTAAGAGTTTGGAGATCAGATTTTTGGTTGGTAGCTTCTGCTTTGGACTTACATTTCTTAAAACATTTTGTTGACCTAACATTGTGATTATTTGTGATTATTTTGTCAGACATTTTTAATTGAGACTTACAACCTTGTCAGTATAAATGACAAGTTTAAACGTGTAGATATTTGAAAGCTCAGGGCCAATATAAAGAGTGATTGAAATGAAGGGACAGAGTTAAAGGTTATTTTTGGACATTTAAATGCTAAAAAGTCATGAAGTTTGGTTAGACAGAAATGGAATATTAAAGTTATTTTTGACTTCAACTCTCTTCTGAAGATATCCTCTTAGTAAAGGTCTAGTTCTACAGGAACCCACTGATGTCCTGAGGGAGCTCTTCCACCCAGCTTCTAAACCAGTTACATTGTCTCAAAAAAATCACATTGATCAGAGATCCATATTATACATCCTGCTCAGAGATGAGTTACTATGTGAAATTTAACAGTCTTCACTTTGAATAGTTTTGAGGTTTGCATCGTGTCTCTTTGTTTTCATTTTTTTGGGTCTCTCTCGTAAACAGCTTCTCAAAGTGGTCTATCTGCTTGTACCAGAAATAATTAGTCTGAGAAACCTGGCTTCCTGCCATGTGTGTTTATCAAACTTGCAAGAAACTTTCTAAATAAATCTATATAAAGTAACAGTCATTACCTTTTACTTGTTGAAGGATTGCCCTTCAAAGAAGTCCATTTCTGTACTTAGCTATGTAAAAAAGCAATTTACAAACAAAGAAATTAACTAGCTGTGTATGTAACTAGAATTTAGCTCATTATCTTCTGTATCTCTTCCCACAACCCCTCAATCCAGTCCTTTTTTGGTCATTCCTTGTTATTTTACATCTAGTTTTAAAAATAAAAAAATTGTTTTAAATCACTGATTTGGTAAATGAACAAGCAGGAAACTTGATTTATAAACTACAGAGCTTGAGATCCAGGAGCAAATTTTCTGTTGCACTTTTTTTTCCCCGAGAGAATGTGTGTGAGAGTTGGTGGGTGAGCTGGCTATAGGGGAAGGTAGTAGATGGGAAGTAGGGAGAAAGAAAGAAGCAAAACACCGGGATACCATAGGGAAAAGCTGCAGTGTAATCTGTTGGGGCTTGTCTTCACCTATGTAGAAGATTGAGGCTGACGTATTTGATCATCCGGAGTTCAATTTAGCATAAGAACTGCTAAATCAAACTCATAGGGTGCTGATACGCCTCCTGCTCATAAGGAATACTTCCATTGTGGAGAGAGAGTGAAAATTCAAATTAAGGTACGTTGACTACAGCTATGTAATTAACGTAGCTGGAGTTGTGTATCTTAATTTTGACCTTCTCCTGTAGTGTAGACCTGGACTTAGAGGACAAAGTGAAGGTAGGGAGGGAAAAAATTCTGGGGAAAAAAAAACCAATGAGATACCTAATGAATTACTTTTTAATTGGAGGAATTTACCCCTTCACTGTAGCCCATACAAGTTTTTGTAATAGCCTGAATGTGTGGCACAGAATCTCTCTCAATGTATGTACAATAGTGTAAACAACTGTTATAAATGGCAGTCTTCTTGGGAATTAGCTTGAAGACTATACAGAATGGTGCTATACATTAAGACTATGTATCAGAGGCAGCAGCATGGGGCAACAGGCAGTTGGTCTGTGAGGGGAGCTGGTTTTTAAACTGGCTCCCCTCACGGACCAGCTCCCACAACATAGCAGCGCGGAGTGGCAGGGAGCTCTTCGAAGTGGGGCCAGAGTGCACTGGCTCCTGGCCCTACCCCCAGGAACTATAGAATAGTCGAGTAACCAATAAGAATTCATGAGGTTAATCAACTATTCAATTAACTGATATTTAACATCCCTAAATTCCAGCTTTTAGTGACAAGGCTATGTTGACATAGCCCTGTTGCTGAAAGTTGGCATGTGTGAATGCTGTTCCCAACAAAATATTTCTAGCCCTCATGATTGGCTTTTAGTTTGTCAGCCGGAGAGTGCTCTTGCTGACAAGGCAACATTTGCACTTGCCCGCTACAAAATATTTTGCCATTTGGGGGTGGTGGCAGCGTGTGAGAGAGACACCTATTAATGACAAAAAAAATTTTGTCAATCAATTGCATTTGTAGACAAAGCCTTAGTTATGTCTTCACTGAATTTTCAGAAGTACGGATTAAGAATTTGAGGTTGACAATGGTTGCAAGGAGTTTTCAGTATCCTCAAGCCTCTTCCCTTCAAAAAATACTAATGTCAGTCAGCAAAGGCACCACATGTGTGATAAGATGAAAGTGTTTATATTAAATTTGTAAAGATTTGAATATTTCAGGCAAAATACTATATTTACTGGCTTCTGAAAAGAGTATATCAACAGCATAACAGGAAGATGGAATTCTAAATAAAAAGGACTTTTACCATTTAAAATTTTTAAACATAAAATGTGTGCTGTAAGAGGAAGCATCTGATCCTTTTCTTTTTATAAATGAAGATTTATAATTTTTTAAAATAAGTATTGTTTCTGAGAAGCATTAGTTATTGATCAATAACTGTATGGACAAATAAATGGGATATATATGTATAAAGCCAATGTATTTCCATTCAGTATTGAACATTTACAGGATTTGAAATGTCTTCAACTTCAAAATTATATAATAATGGTTGGCCTTTTTCGTGAGGTTTTCTGGACAGAAGGGAAATGTTAATCAAATTTATAAATTTTAAATATCTACATATTTTCTTACATGTTCAGGACCAATTTGTAGCTTAAGTCCCCCATATCCATTTTTAATTTCTGAAAAAGAATACTGTGTGTCCCCTTTTAAATTGATTCTGGTATGCTCTGTCCTTTCCTAATAAAGAAATACTTGATCATAAAATACAATTGGAATGCTATTGTACCCCTTCATCAGTTGTAACTAAAGTCTCTCACTAAATCTGCTTTTACTGTTGTTACACCTATATTAATACACTATTTTGTACATACAGTTGGCAAAATCCTGTGTCCATGTACCGATATCTAAAACAGTTTATAAAATTGGTAACTAAAGTTGTATATAAAAAATCCTCCTTTGTTTATATAGAAAGCTATGGCTCACCTGATTACCATGTGTTCAGATTTTAGGGGCTGGAGAAGAAGTTAACTTGTTGCACAGTCAGATTTAAAAAAACAAGCTTTTGATATAGTGAGCTGGTTCAACTATACAGGCAGTCCCCGGGTTACGTACAAGATAGGGACTGTAGGTTTGTTCTTAAGTTGAATCTGTATGTAAGTCGGAACTGGCGTCCAGATTCAGCCGCTGCTGAAACTGACTGCCAGTTCTGACTTATATACAGATTCAACTTAAGAACCCCAAGTCAGCTGCTGCTGAAACTGATCAGCAGCTGATTCCAGGAAGCCCAGGGCAGAGCAACTGTGCCTTGGGCTTCCTGTAGTCAGCGCTGGTCAGTTTCAGCAACGGCTGACTTGGGGACGTCTGGGGCAGAGCAGCTGGGGTGCTGCTGGGTTGCTCCAGTAGCACCGCTCCTCGGCGCTACTGGACCAGACCAGGGGCACCGGGAGCAGCTTTTCTCGAGGTGGCTGACCGCTGCCTGTGAGCTCCGGGGCGAGAGAGCCCCGTTCGTAAGTGCGGTTCCGCGTAAGTCGGGGACTGCCTGTAGTAGTAATATTTACAGATCTATTCTTCTGTTTTCTTATTTTACCTCTTATTGAGATTACTTATTTCCTTGATCTTCTACTTACTGTTATTGTTAAATCTATTCTTTTTCAGTTCCTGGAACAGCTAATAAATTTATTTAATTACTGCTAGTGCAGAGCGCCGGCGGCGGCAGGGTCCCACGCCTCTGAGGCTTTGCTCTGGCAGGTGTCCCTGGTCTGCTGGAGACGGTCCCCAGAGCAAAGCCTCAGAGGCGCGGGCCCCCTCCGCCTCCCTGGCTTTGCTCCGGGTGTCCCTGGTCTGCTGGAGAGGGTCCCCAGCAGACCAGGGGCACCGGGAGCAGCTTTTCTCGCCCCGGAGCTCGAGGTGGCTGACTGCTGCCTGTGAGCTCCGGGGCGAGAGAGCCCCGTTCGTAAGTGCGGATCCGACATAAGTCGGATCCGCGTAAGTCGGGGTCTGCCTGTAATGGGATTTGGAAGTAAGAAATTACTGGCAAATCAATTTTAAACCTTTCTTGAACACACACAGTCTCTAAATAAATGCACACCTGATGTAGCACTAATTTCTCCACGTGGCAAATTTTGTTTTATCCATTGGGTAATGTGGACTTCAAGCTGAAATGTTTTAATAAAAAATGCTGTGAATATAAAAGGACATGTATATAATTTTGAATGACTTATTTGTGCAATAAATGTCATAACTTTTGCATCTGGAGTCTGGAATTCTACTGCTTCCTGGGCCTTGTGATACTCCATGTTTGCTCGAAGTATAGTCACACTTATCAAATTCAGTCCATTTTTCTGTCATGACATTAGAAAGATGCTCTCAGATTCTTCGAACCAATTAATACATCTGTGGAAAATATGGAGGAGAAATGGTACTTGAACCTAGAAACCTCTGTTAGTCTTATATTCTGTATGTATTTATACACTCTCCAGTTATACAGTTTACTGTATGTAGGCACTGCAGTGTATTTGAGTGGATCTTCACTGAAGTAGACTAAGTTATTGTAACCTTAAATGTAGTTCTGCTTAGTCCTCTCACATGGGATCAAAGATGTAATACATAAATCTTGTTTGGATGGCTTTCTTCCTCTTCTTTCCAATGTCTTGAATTAATGAACATTTACTCAGAATAACTTTTTCAATTCCTTTTTTTAAGGCTATATGTCTCTCCAAGAAAATCCACTGCACATCAAAAAACAGAATCTCCTATAAAGTGGTGTCGACAGGTGTTGGATAACCCAAGTCCTGAAACAGAAGTAGCCTGCCGAGCCCTTATAAATAGACTTGACCAAGGTATTTATGTGAAATCTATCTTGAGTACTTAGAAATAGATATATCTTGTATTATTATTGAAGTGATAGTTGAAACGGGAATATTATGTATTGTAATCTTAAAGTAAATAAAGAACATATTCAAAAATATATCAGATCACTTTTAAAGTGTACTTGTCATTATTTAAAACTCAAGTGCTTTCTTAAGGAAAACACCTGTAAACCAGATAATGTAATTGGCATTGAAATATGTCTGCAAATTGGATATAGATTAAAAGCAATAGATCAAGCAAACTTAGCTTTAACTCTGATCATTAGAACTTTCTGCATTCATTTTGTTTAATTAAAATGGATTAAAACTAATATAAGTGCTTCTGACCTAGTGCTAAGTAGATAATCTCATTAATTTTTATCTATACTACAGGCAGTCCCCGAGTTACGCGGATCCGACTTATGTCGGATCCGCAGTTACGAACGGGGCCCTACCTCTCCCTGGTCTCCGGCAGACCAGGGAGAGGAAGCAAAGCGGCGGAACACATGGGCAGCGGACAGCCCAGATGCGTCAGGGCTGTCAGCTGGCCGCGTGCTCCGCGGCTTTGCTCTGCTCTGCTCCCCGTTCCCCTGGTCTGCCACATTGGTAATAAGTTTTCCAAGGACTCCAATAGTTCTCCAGGGCCCCAAGCCTCTTCTATGAAGATGTTAAGGAAACTCAAGCTTTTTTTCCCCACAATAGAAGAGACATTTGAGGATGAGGAGGTGAGGGCAGATAAAAGCCCTCAGACTACCTTCTGATCCTCATCATGCATGCGGCCTCCTCCATATGTGACCAGTGGATTTTCAGAATCTCATTAAACAGACAGCAAACCCCCATAGATACTTTGTGAGGATGTCAGAGAATCTCAGTAACCTGTTAGGTCATCTTTATTTTGTGACACTGTCCAAAGTTACCCTTCCTATCAATGAAGCTCTACTGAAACCTGCAAAAAACTATTTGGCAAGCCCTGGCCACAATAACTTCTTAATGTAAGAGAGTCAGTGAAAAGTATTATTTTCCCACCAAGGACTCTGAGTTCCTATTTTCTCATCTTCTGCCCAACTCTCTGGTAGTTGATGTAGTGAACGAACAGGGGAAACAACAATGATACCAAATGACGGACACCAGGAGTGCCAGGATCTTCTGAGGAGAGAATCTTACTCATCGGAAACCCTACAATTCCACATCATGAATTATCAGGCAGTGATGGTCAAATATAACTTTACAAACTATGCAAAAATTATTTTATTAAACACTTTCCTCCAGAGCAAAGTGAGCAATTTCAGGCTAGCATTGCTGAGGGGTAGTTTTACTGCCCAGGAAACTCTTCAGGCAGCTCTGATACTACAGCCTGTTCCCTCTCCACAGCAGTGATGATACACAGAGCATTCTGACTCTCAAAAGAAGTCCAGAATGCAGTGCAGGATCTCCTGTTTGGTAGACTGAAGCTCTTTGCCCCCCGTCTCCCTGGTCTGACCAGCAGACCAGGGAGATGGGGAGCAAAGCCTCGGAACACGCCAGCAGTGGGACAGCCGCGGCCCGCCTGGACTGTCCCGCTGCCCGCATGCTCTGCGGCTTTGCTCCGCGTCTCCCAGGTCAGCAGACCAGGGAGACGGAATAAGCCGTGGAGGACTTGGGCAGTCCTGCCACCCCTGTCTCCCTGGTCTGCTGCGTGGGGGGTGGGGGCATGCATCTAGTGCCCCTCCCCCCCTCTCACCCCCAGCAGACCAGGCTTTTCTTGCCTACCCCTGGGGTAGAGGAGCCGGGGGCTGCCGGGTTGGTCCCGCAGCGCCACTCCGGACCAACCCGGCAGCACCCCAGCTGCTCTGCCCCAGGCGTCCCCACGTCAGCCGCTGCTGCAACTCACCAGCGCTGACTCCCGGAAGACAGAGGAAGCGCTGCTTTTCCCCAAGGTTCCA